TCTTGCATAATGTATGTTTAAAGACTGTTTATCGGGATATTCGGTTTTCTGCCAGGGGGTTATTCAATGACTATTTAAAATTAACTAACAACTGATCAGTTAAACCATCAAATGTATGATCCCAATTATTATTTTAATATCTATCTGAGATTCCTACCGCTGACGACATACAGGGAGGGGGGGGGACTTGACCATTCTATATAGATAAATAATCAAAGACAGTCCTATTTATTCTGATTTAAGGTACATAAACACAGACGAAGAAATATGGTTTATCACATACTTGGAATAATACTTGGTTTATCCATCACCTTACCAACAGTAGGAGCCAACAATAAATGTCTTGAAACAGTGGACGCACAATACGGTGGACTTCACGCCAACTGTTCTCACATTGAAACTTCAAGAGTTCCAGAAGATCTTCCCGACAACACCACAACCCTAGATCTAACCTTTAACAACATTAAAACTCTGTATAATAATGATTTCAAATGTCTGACTCAACTACGTTATCTTGATCTCAGCTTTAATCCTATTGATACTTTACAAGAATTCTCATTTCATGGACTTGATTCATTATTAGTTTTAGAATTCAATGGACACAATTTGAATTATACAGACATCTCTATGCCTTTGGAAGTGTTTTCCCCACTCCAATCCTTGACAAATTTAAGCCTCAGGTCTGATATTTCACGTTTTCCAAACCGTCAATTTATTATACCAGATCGAGTCCTAGGATTCCTAACAAAACTAACACATTTAAATATCGACATGAGTTCCGATTTTCATTCTGGATTTTCTAATCTAACCGAGCTTAAGGAACTCATCGTTGGTGGAACCTGGAAACACGGACAATGGTTAAATTGTGAACTGTCCTTATTAACAAACACATCATTTAAGGCTTTTTCTAATATCCCTGTTCAGCTACTTCAGCTAAATAGCTGCATAATTAAAAGTTTCGAGGAAGACTTTCTTCTGCCATTTCCCAACTTGAAAACATTGTTGCTCAATAATATAACTATGAAGAATGGTAATTTTTCTCGCTTGATTCAAGTTCTTCATGTGTTTGAATATAAGAATATGACAGAGATCAGTATTGCCCGAGTTGTTACGTCTCTAAAATATCTCGGATATAATAGAAGATTAGATCTACAATTACTATCCAAGATATGCTTGGAGAAACTTGACTTAAGTCAAAACGTGATCAACATAATAGATTTTGATGTGCTATTTATCAAACCTTATCCACCGTTCACCAAATGTATAAGGCGGATTAATGGTGCAGCTAATCGCATCACAGGAACAATACGTTTGAACCTTGTCCCCCTTCTGTTGGCAGCCATGTCTATGCTGGAAGAGGCAGACTTCTCTGATCAAATGATTTTCTCTTATAACAAATATATTATCCGGGCAACACCAGCTGATGCACATGTTAATTTTCCTGAACCAATACCAATTTTTATCGCCAGCAAATTGAAACGTTTAAACATAGCTGGATTTCCACATGAAATTGGAGAATTGACAGTTGATATTCAATTTATTTTTGCGAATAATTTAGAATATTTGAATATGTCTTATTGTGGACTGTACAATCTGAAACGTAAAATATTTGGACTTGGTAATTTGGAAATTTTCGACATTAGTGGTAATTCTCTAAGCATCATAAATGTGACATTTTTTGACGAGTTTCCGAATCTAAGGACAGTGCATGCAAGTAACGCCCTGTTAGATAACGATTTCATTGCTAAGAATGGTCGTAGATTTTTCAGTCCCTTAAAAAAATTGGAAAATCTCGATCTTTCTAGTAATGGTTTTGTGTATTTACCTAACGGTTTATTTAACTCAATGGTTACATTGAAAGTACTTAATTTAGCCAATAATAACCTTATAACTATACCAGACGTAAACCAGTTGGTTAAGCTGAACGCTTTGTATCTTAACCATAATGCAATAACTACCTTAAGGTATGAAACAAGAGACATGTTGGAGAAAACCACCGAAAACAACAAGAAGTTACAGTTACATCTTTGGGGAAACGTACTCATTTGTACCTGTGAGGCGATTCCATTTTTGTTATGGTTAGAAGAAACCCGTGTTAATTTAGATCGCATCAGTTATTCTTGTATAGAATCATCAGGAATACCCACCTCCACTAAAGCCGTTTATAACCAATGGACATCCTTCAACCGAAAATGTGTTTCGTCCTCTTGGCTGAATATAGCTATTGGGGAATTCGCTATCGTTGCTCTTACTCTCACAGTAGCCTTTGTTTTCACCAAAAACAAAATGAAACTGAAATTACTGCTTTTAAGGATGGTTGGAAAAAATATTTACCCAAAGAAAAGAGATGATTTTGTGTATGAAGCTTTTATAATATACACGGACTCTATTTCCGGTTGGGTTTGTAATGAACTGAGAAATGAACTGGAAACAAATCGTGGAATCAAACTAAACCTTCGTGATAGAGATCACCTACCTGGTGGTTCCCGTGCCGATGACCTGTTGGAAGCTATACGTGACAGTTGGAAGATTGTTTTAATCTTAACTGAAGATTTTTTGAGAAGTGATCTAGCCTATTTTGCCATGTGTAACTGTTTATCATCAATAACACTGACAACACCCCAGAGATTAATCGTTTTAATCGATCATCAGATACATCTAACGGCTAATCTTGATTTTCTGCTTGAAGCTGTCACCGAGGACAACATTCTATATGTTGATCTGCGGCATCCGTTAAGTATTGCTTTCTGGGACAAGATATCCAATGTCATTAAATCAAAGGAAGGTATAAACGTATAGGGTAAAATTCCAAATGAAAAATATTAACATTTTGCGTGCCAATATGAAAATATGTACACTTGGCTTGGCCATGCTATGAAAATATCATAGCCAATTTTGAAATAAAAAATGTTCAAGGTAGTTTCTGGACTGTCTCTAAAAACTATGTGTTGTATTGTTAATAGAAGCCGTGACTGCTACTTATAGCCGCTGTGGTTAAGTGAGTAAGACGTTGACTCGGCAACCGAGAGAGAGAGAGAGATGGGAGGAAACCGGGGGACCCGGAGAAAACCCACGAGGTTGAACAGGCGACCTTACTCCTCGTCACGTCAACCGGGGAATCGAAACCACGCCAGATGACTCAATGACATACTTTATTATACAGCGCGCACGTCATTATATTCAGGCCCGTAACTAGAGGGGGCGGGGGGGGGGGGGGCATAATTTTCCGGTTCGATGGATTTCAAGAAATGTTTTGGGAGAAATGTTATTGAAGAAATGTTTTTTTTTTTTATTTTCTAAAATAAATTTTATCTTTATATTGCAATACAATTAAAATACATTTTACAAATCTGATATGACAAATGTCTGATTTGTAAAACAAATGTCTGATTTGTAAAACATATATTGATTTTATGATATAAATGTTAATTTCAAGATACAAATGTCGGAATACGACAACACGTGAAGAAATAAGAATAAAGGACTATTAATTAAGAAATAAGTACTGAGAACGCTGAATCAAGTATGTGTTTTATCTGGATACAATCTGAGATGACAAATGAAATGAAATGGGGTTTAACGTCCCACTGTTTTGCTCCTAAACTGGGCTAATGAAGACGGGCATACGCCATACAGTGTGCTATGAGGGAAATTTTGCCCGGGCAGCGGCGCTACGGCCTACTCTTAATCGACTTCCAACTGCCAAGGGATCCTTTAAGTGCACGCCAATTTGTACACGGGACCTCGGTTTTTCGTAGCATCCGAGCGACTAGACAGCTGTCCTTGTCAGGCCCTCCGTCCTGCATCACTGACAAGAGGAAACCAAGCCGGAAAATCTGGATGAACTTTCTCGGCCAATGCAGGGGATCCAACACCCGAACTCTTGGCTAGCGGGTCAGCGTCTTACCCACTTATCCACCGAGATGGTAACAGATTATTTATAATCTAGTAGCAGCAGTATCATTTATGATGTGTTAACAAGCTTACGCATCATATCGTATAATATGTAAACCAACTTTACCTGTTTTTGTTTAAATATAACAACAGCATACCGGTGCAAATTACAACAATGGCGTTTCTTCTAACATCCTATCTTCTAACATCCTAACGCTTTGTTTTAATTTACAACAACACGGGCGTGTTTGATTGGAGCGTGAGCAGCACAATGTTTGGGTAGTCCTGTGCACCAATACGTTGATCCTGCGTTAGCGCATTGACTAATAATGATTACTCAGGTACAAATTTAATATTAGAGTTCTTCTTTCCATATTCATATATATTTATATAATATAGAATAAATTTCAGTATGGCTGTAGGCAGGGTCATAACTAGCTCAGAGCAACGAGGGGGGGGACTTAAAGGACAATATTGGTGTCAGTCATTATCACATATGTGATAGAACTTTTTAAACACGTTCCAAATATAATTTTAACACAGAGATCATTGCTACGCTAGATGCGTTATTTAGATTTTAAGTGACAAACGCAAACGGAAAACACGAGTCATCCTTCTAAATAACTGACTGAAGTGACGAGTGACAGCGAATTTCTGGTCACTATATAATTCCTTCGAAGACTAGAAGTTGGTATATGAGACTGTGGGAAGATATTTGACAATTCAAAAAAATAATTGACTGTAACAAAAGAAAAATAGAAAAAGTTCGTGCATTACCATGTTTTTTAAAGAATAGAATGAATAAAAACAAGGGATTGTGCGGACTATATATATTTTTCTCATTTTCCCTTATCTAGTGATATACAATTACTTTTTTAGAATTATCAGATATCCTCTCACAGCCTCACGTAACAACGTTTGGTCTTAGAAGGAATTATCTGTTATCACTTCTCACTTCAATCAGTTATATAGAAGGATAACTCGTGTTTTCCTTTTGTGTTCGTCACTTCTTGTTGTAGAAACATTCATTACACATCCATCGTAGCAATGATCTCTGTGTTAAAATTATATTTGGAAGGTGCTAATTTGGTTTCAAATGTTATATAAACAATTATTTAGAAATTTATTCAAGTGTTTAGATCATAGGATAACCGAGATATAAATGGATTAAAACACGATGGTCATTTAATAATTTAATTTAAAAATGGTGAATCGGGACTAATATGTTGATGAGAATTTTTCATCTATATTTGAAGTATAATTCTACCCGTGGTACCAGAATTATTCATAATCGTATCATGGGCTTTAGCAGCTTGGCCTAGTGAAAATTTCAACCCAATATGTGGTTTGAGCCAACCAGATTTTATACCTGCTTCAAGAGCACCATGCATTTCTTTCCATTCAGCCTACAATACAAAAATATACACAATGAACGGGCGCAATCTATCTAATACTTCAAAATGAAAATATAACAATACCCCTACAAATGCACGTTCAGTTAACAATAAATAGTCTATTTGTATTTAACAAAGACAAAACAGGACCAAAAAGGTATCATTGAAGCACTCCTGTATTATTATCCCAAGACAATAATATATTACACACACAGATGCCTGTAACGTAGAAAAATCTCTTTCAAATATAACATTAAGATGTTACTTAGTATACTGTCTAACTTGAAGATAGTCACGTGTACACAATGGGTTTAAGACCAGTTATGAGATAATGTCGCACATTATCGGCCTATTTAGTCACATCTTAATGTTATTTTTGATTCCACGTTACAGGCGCCTTAAACATTGATAAAATTAATGACTCACCTCTGTTGAGAGAAAAATTAAAACACCAGTGACAAGACATTCTTTAAACATGATTTTAACAGTATCAATCTTTGCTTGGTCTTTGCTTCCAACAATCTAATATAAAGATAAATTCTGCTTGGTAGTTTGAATAATAATCTATTACCGCTACCCTTGAACGTCTTGTTCTACATCAGATGATATCGTATTATGAATCAGGACAAATTAACGAAATGCTGCGATTAATGAGTTTAGAGGGATGCAATCGATGAATTGTGGACCAAGTAGAGTGTTGCCAAGTAGAAAAGCAAAACACGGAATCCCTATTCTCACAGTTCCCTTGAATATCACTTTTATCCTAGCCGTTTTGTGCAGGTTCTATACAGTAAAGAATTTATATTACATGTATATCAGACTGGAAGGAAATATATATTTTGGTTGATGGGTAGGGAGTAAGCGTAAGTTTCCGATTTATAAACCATAAAGCAGAATTTAATATTGAAAAGAGAAGACTATATCTATTTGATACCTACCCCAATTCGTCCACGATTTTTGATTAGATCAAGATCCTTATCCAGATTAACATTAGCCAACATTTCCAGTATAATATCTATTCCTTCTGGGGCAACATCCTGATAAAAATAAAGCAACATTTCCAGTATAATATATATTCCTTCTGGGGCAGTATCCTGATAAAAATAAAGCAACATTTCCAGTATAATATCTATTCCTTCTGGGGCAACATCCTGATAAAAATAAACCAACATTTCCAGTATAATATCTATTCCTTCTGGGGCAGCATCCTGATAAAAATAAAGCAACATTTCCAGTATAATATCTATTCCTTCTGGGGCAGCATCCTGATAAAAATAAAGCAACATTTCCAGTATAATATCTATTCCTTCTGGGGCAGCATCCTGATAAAAATAAAGCAACATTTCCAGTATAATATCTATTCCTTCTGGGGCAGCATCCTGATAAAAATAAAGCAACATTTCCAGTATAATATCTATTCCTTCTGGGGCAGTATCCTGATAAAAATAAAGCAACATTTTGTCTGTAAATAAGTCACCTAATATTTTTGTGTCTACTATGAGATCGTGTATATAATTATATTGTCTCTATTTGTGCAGATATTCTGAATTTTATCATAGATTAAATGTTAATATTTTTCTAACTTACGGTTATGTGTTTCATGTAGTCTTTGTCTCTATGGTTAAATACAAAATCGGCCCCATTGCCTTTAGCTAGTTTCATGCCTTCTGGTGTACCAGCTGTTCCAATGACTTTTAGCCCTATAGATTTAGCCAACTGAACACTGGCTAATCCAACCTATTATAAAACAATAGTATAAAACCTTTAACCCTAGCCAATTGCCAAGCCAACAATGACTAAACCAAACTATTACCCAATTTCAAATTGTGTCGGACTATAATACAAGTCTAAAATCTGAATTCTTTCTGGTTAGGCTGATTCAGCTAATTTGTCTTAGCTGTTCACCATGGATATCCCACTATAGTTCGCTGATAACTATAGTCGGTAGAATGATCACATGTGAGCAAGTGTAGGCTACTAATTAACTATAAAAGCAATTAATAGAACCAACGATAAATGTGACTTCTATACAGTGTTTACACGAAATTGTGGTCTCACTATAGTTAGATTTGAAATTACTAAACGTATGTACAAATTATTAAAGTGTTACTTACAGCTCCACTGGCACCATGTACCAATAACGTCTCTCCTGCTCTGGCACGAATTCTAAAACAATGACAATTGTTATATTAATTTCTATAGTTATTAGACAATGTATTCGATTAATTGCAGGAGCCCAATGATGAGTGGTATATTATTCAAAAGGTGGTGCTCTGAGAATACGAATTTGTCAGAAGGTCAATACAGCTTTTGACGAATCTCTCATTCATAAATACCATGTTAGCAACAGACTTGAACCCATAAAGGGATTAAGACAAGTGTTGACAGATCTTTCTTCTAATGCAGTTCTAACAGATATTGATAAACTTACATTATACACAGCAGTTTATAAGCTGTATAATAAGGAATTCCAATTCCGGCTCCTTCATCAAAGGTAAGTTGGCTTCCCAGGTGTGCAATAAATAAAGGCGTGGTAACAACATACTCGGCATAGGTGCCCGATCCTTGTGCAGCCGCAGTTATTACACGATCTCCAACCTATATGCAATAATAATAAGATAGTTTAATCAAATCAGATAGGCGTGGACATCAAGTATAAGATATATATTATTAATACTGGTATTTGAGTTATTCAAACAATGAAATGCTTATATAAATATATGAAACAGTATCCCCTGATAAGGATACAGACCACCAAAGTTTTAATCCCGTTTCCATTACTTCTTTGTCTCACTGAGCACTGCTTATAACTCCCCAAATCTTCGTTGGATTGGACATTTCCTACTACAAGAAGACCAACGTTTGACAATTTCTTTTCCCAAGGTGGTCATTAAAATTTGAGATTCTCTTACCTTAAAGTTTTTCACATTTTTTCCAATTTTTTCTACGACGCCAGCACCGTCGAAACCGGGTGTGTAGGGTAAAGCTGGTGGGTTAGGGAAGGTACCTGTTCTAATGAGGGCTTCTACAGGATTGATACCAGCAGCCGCTAATTTTATCAACAACTGAATTAAAACATTAAAAATAGTAAGATAGAGCCATGACAGGAATGTACTGTTTCTCGAATAAAATTAGCAGTTCTTTCTAGGCTGACTTCAATGTTATCCATGTCATTTCTTAGCCTTAAACCTTATTTTAGAATTCCAATATTTATAACCACAAAGAGGCCAACAAGTTACAGCATAACATCTAAGGGGGTGATTATGGAGCCCCTTGAGTGCACGATTCCACTTATACATATATAATTATTGATCAATAAAATATTGATTCGTTTCAACGAAAATATTGATTCGTTTAAACGAAATTAATATTGATTCGTTTAAAAGAAATTAATGTTGATTCGTTTAAACGAAATTAATGTTGATTCGTTTAAACGAAATTAATATTGATTCGTTTAAACCAAATTAATATTGATTCGTTTAAACGAAATATTAGCTTCTCCGGGGATATTTATCTAATTGCCTAATGCTCTGGTTTGTGTATGCCTTCTACTAAAGTACTCCTGCATTGTCTATTATTTTATACTTTTCACTAGAGCTCCTAATTAAAAGGGTTATCAAACAATTGAACAGCTGGATGGAGGTATGTGAGAGTAAGTTTATCAGTAAATTCCATTACCAACAGCTTACCTGGTCGTCATTGTAGGATGGAACTTTGAGATTATTGTCCATGGTTAAAACCTCAGGACCACCAAATGTCTTCACACTAATACCCCTCATGATTGATGTTTTATTGATCAGATCTAAATTCTCGTTTTAGTAAATCTGAAATGAAAGAAATACAATACGACAGATGATAGACGTGGACTATGATGATAGACGTGGACTATGTGACAAGAAATTGATCTGGTGTGCGTTCATGTCGCTAACGTGTTTACAATCCAAGGTGCACAAGCCGTCAATGAGCTAAACCTCTAACTCGATATTATCCATAATATCTGAAATTGAAAATACAAATTAGAATATTTAATGTGGATCTATATCAATCAATGTTGATGTTGTTTATATTACCGTGAAAATATCGAATCGTAATAGCTAACATTTAAGACACAATTAAAATGGTTTCGAGCGTCATTTGTAATGAACACAGAACAACATATCACACAAGACCACGTGGAAGTGTAAGCAGGCACAAACGACTGTCGTTCATCTTTTTCACCGGACATAATTGATCAGAAATTTATGATAAATTGTTTAGAAATTGAATATAAATCACTTTGTATACACCCATAGTACATTTATATACACTCTATTATATGCCCTTTAAGGTCCTCACAAAACATGTGGATTAATACTACATTTGACTGAAAATAGCATAAGATTACAGTTAAATTCAGGTTTAATGAGTTTACACTTAAATAAAATGCGGTTTGTTGGCCGAGAATGGGGGTTGGGTGGCCGAATGGTTAGCACGTGCGTCATAGCAGCCTGTCATTGAGTCAACTGGCGTGGTTTCAAATCCCCGGTTGTACGTGACAAGGAGTAGGGTCGCCTGTCCAACCTCGTGGGTTTTCTCCTGGTCCTCCGGTTTCCTCCCACTGCTAAAGACCCCTACGCGCAAGCGAATTATTGAAATAAAATTAAATCATATGTTAGTCCCGAAATGACATAGTTTGTGTCGAGTGGACGTTAAACCCAATTTCTCTCTCTCTCTATCTCTTGTTGGCCGAGAAAGTTCCCCGGGATTCTCTAGCGTGCTTTCCACTTGTCAGTGGTGCAGGGCGGGGGCTGACATGGAAGATCGTATAGACGTTCGTATGTTAAGAAAGCACACTGGCGTATGTCCGTCTTCATTATGCCACAGAAAAGTAGGATAAAAAACCCTATGTCATTTCATTTTGAACAGTGCAGACCAGGAGTTTCTGTAGTGTATATAGCTGAACTGACATAACTTTTCAATTGTTTACATTTACCGCCAACGTGGTCTTTTTAATGTACAATGTTATGTACCTAGTATTGAAAACTAGGACAGTTATTTTTAAACCTCAGTATACACTTTATTCTAGTCAACGAAACTTAACATTATACATGCTCTAATAGGCTGTATGAATAATAGTACGCCACAGCAAGCTAGTGTGTTTATTAAACTATAGTAGACTAGCCTTGTGCTAAATCTTGGCTCGTGGGCTGTCAGGTCTAGCAAGGCTGCACAATATCGATAAACGGGAATATAAAAGCTTTTAGACTTAGAATTATACATATTACAATGTTTCTCTTAATATATAGTTGCTTGATATTGTTATGATATTTTATCAGATATAGATTCCATACAACTTAATCAAAACCCAAGATCACTACATGAGTACTATAATAGCTATTTAAATAAGTCAAAATTGCTTCGAAATTTTCTAAAAACAGCATGTTTATGACTATTACATGTAGTTAAGAATAAAATAGCTGATGAATATTAAATACAGTTAACTATAACTAATGATCCTCACCTCTCTCTTCAACCACCAAGAAACCTGGGAAACATTCACACTGACATCACTAATTATACGTACTAAAACCAGCTGAGTCATAACACTGAAAAATTGTTTTTGTAAAACAAAATTTGCGTAGGTTTTCAATGTTGCCACATAAATTGAACAAAATGCCGAGTCATTATTTGCATATAGTTTCTAATTCGCTTAAAAAGTTAATGTTAAAAGCATTATAAATCCTTTCTTGTAAAACGTACGTACGACAAAATGATTGGTTAATTTCGAACCTGCCACACACGACTCAACATTAATCAATATTTAAAAATGTCTTGATGAAATTCATACCTGGATGACATTTCACTTCCTGAATCTAAACCCAGACAAAACTGAATTTATGTTAATAGGAACAAAGCACAAACTCCAGCAGATCAGGGACTGCACTCTGTCCATTGCAGGGGAAACTATCACACCATCAGCTAAAGTCAAGAACATTGGAGTTATCCTAGATAAAAACTTGTCTTTCCAACATCATATATCAGCTGCAACACCATCCACATTCTTTAAAATACATCAACCCGGTAGATTTAAACAGTACCTATCTACCGATAACCCGCAGCTACTCGTTCAATCTCTAGTCATGTCTAAACTCGATTACAACAACGCCGTCCTTTATGGCGTCGCAGACTGCCGCCTACAAAAGCTTCAACATGTTCAGAATACTGCAGCACGGTTGATCAAAGGTACCGGGAAAAGAGATCATATTACTCCAGTATTGTGCGAACTTCACTGGCTTCCAATTAATTCTCGAATTAACTATAAAATATTATTATTAGCATTTAAATCAATAAATGGCACCGCTCTAGAATACATATCCGATCTACTTGTGAAACCACAACACTCTCGAACTCGACGATCAAATGATAAAAACCTCCTTGTCGTTCCAAAATAGAATATCCAAATGTGTAGACGTTCTTTTAAATATGCTTCATCTGTATTATGGAAATCGATCGATTTTTATCATCCCCTTAAAGACTCAAAATCATCTGACATTTTCAAACGTAGACTTAAAACATATCTGTTCCAGTAACACTTTGGAACCGAGGATCCATCACAAACTTTGCAAGCGCACTAGGGACCTTGTTACTATGGTGATTCAAGCGAATATTTACTGCAAATCAGTAAATCAGTGCGCTAGATCGATCCAGCTCTCAGACCCCACGTCATACCACATTTTGCACGTCATCGAAACAACGTTTTCGAGCATGACAACGCCCGTGCATACACCGCCAGAGTTACTCGGGACTTTCTACAGTAGAACGGTGTCAACGTTATACACTGGCCAGCCCTTAGTCCGGACTTAAACCCGATTGAACATCTTTGGGATGAAATTCAGTTGGAAAAGAACAGTAGGACGTTAAACCACATTTCATTTCACGAGTAATATTTCTAGAGAATTCCCAATAATTTAATCACCTATCAAGTTTATCATCGTACACAATGCAGGGTATACATGTTATTTCAAGAATACCTGATACCCCTTCTCATTTCCTATTTAATGTAACCCACTTTACAGAGTATTTAGTTAGATTCAGAAACAACGTATAAAACGTATATTATTAATCCGTCTAAAAATGGTAATAAACACAATAGTAACACAATGGAAACAACGTATAAAACGTATATTATTAATCCGTCTAAAAATGGTAATAAACACAATAGTAACACAATGGAAACAACGTATAAAACGTATATTATTAATCCGTCTAAAAATGGTAATAAACACAATAGTAACACAATGGAAACAACGTATAAAACGTATATTATTAATCCGTCTAAAAATGGTAATAAACACAATAGTAACACAATGGAAACAACGTATAAAACTTATATTATTAATCCCTCTCCAGATGGTAAGAAACACAATAAAAAAAAATGGCAAACTGAAATGAGCTAAATCGCTAATATTTGGGACCTAAAAATTGACAACAAATGAGTCGCAAAGCATATAATAATGTAATATGAATGTATATAAACTGGTTTACATTCAATTGTTTATATTTTTACTGTTCGGCAAAATACGCGAAAAGTGCAAATTGAATTGCATTTTTTGGCGTTTGGTTATTCCAGTCTACGTCGCCTCCTTCATTGAGTTGATTCATTACAAATGGGACTTAACAGCATTCAGGCACGCGATTTCTGTGTGAAGTTTAAAGTTTTGATTGTGTGTAAATATTGGATACCAGAAACCCACCTTTTAACAGTAAGATAACAAAATTGGATACCATAAGCCCATGTTTTCACAATAAGATAACAATATCAGTTGATTTAAATTGACCAATACAGGGGCGGATCCAGGAATTTTTACAGGAGGGGGTTTGCCAGGTGCCTGTTAAGGAAATTTGACATTTTACAATGCATGATGCCACCCTCGTCTTCAAATTAAGTAGACATAAATACAAACTGAGCTTTTTATAGAGAGAAATTCCAACACTCCTTTTGACGTCAAATTTTATTATGAATTTTGTGCAAAGCAATAATCATCACATATGTCTATATCATTATCTGGCGCTTTGAATGCCCTCCCCACCCCGCCATCTGTTGATAAAGGACAAAGCACACGACCTTGACACTTTTCTCATAAAAGTGTTGTTTTACATTTTTTTTTATGTAGCTGAGCAGCTAAAAACATAAAAAAACTTGCCACAATTTCACAAAAATTCTAATTTTATTTCCTCTCACGCTTGATCTATATTTAGAATAGTCAAGTTTTGTGTCGTCTGCTTGTGATTAGCACGCGCTGTTAACAAGGGATGCTATTAAAGTTTACTGACGATAAAATAAAAGACATTTAATTTGAAAGGTCGACATAAGTCCACCCCTCACCCATCAGGTTAGTCTACAAAGTGGGGACATCTACAGGGGTCAATGATGAAGACGAATCGTTATAATAACAAGACATCTTTATTTTATTTTGATATAAAATGTTATAGAGTTAATTGCAGGTCTTTATTCTGATATCAAATGTTATATAGATTATTATTTTAGACATGCATTCCCATGGAACAGTGAATGGGACGACAAACCGAGGTCACATGTACACATTTTCGTGCACGTAAAAGAACCATTGGCAGTTGGAATGCAGACGAGGTTTAACATCCACTTGGCATAAATAAACCAGCAGGTTATTTGGGACTAACATATAGAGATAAACCAGGGTATTTGGGACTAACATATAGAGATAAACCAGGGTATCATGGACTAACATATAGAGATATTACAACTGTTACTAAATGAAGTGGAGTTTAAAGTCCTACTTATTACTGTACTAACATTGTAATAAAAAGTATGAAAATATTTACAATTTAATCTGTCTTTAGAAACATATTTCTGTGTCTAATTATAGCTAGTCTTGTAAAGGGTAGTAGTAAAATTAAAATATTATTATTTTTATTACCCTTAATAACGCGAACATCAAACAACAATATTTTATTTAAATAGATAATGTTAAATCCTTCAGGGTAACAATTAATAAATATAGATATTAAATTCTTAATAAATTCTGAAACTTTTGGACAATTAGGAAATAAATGCTGCACTCGCTAACCATTCGGGAAAACAGATCATTTGAAGAGCTCCTACGACAGTTCAGGTGTAACTGTAAAACTGGGTGTCACTGTGGCACTGACTCGGTGAACTTGTAAAAACCATCGACAGGACTACAATGATATACTTGTGGTGAGTGTAAAGGATATCATAGCTGTAGCAACTCCGACATGAGTTTTTTTTTAGACAACTCTGGTGAGGAAGCTTTGATAACTTGTTTGTTTCCATCAGGGCTATGTGACCCCCCCCCCCCCCCAACACACACACCCTCCATCACACACACACCCAGACACACACACACTCCCCCGTGACAACAGTGCATTGTTGTGCAAATGCAATCAGTCAAATGTTGTCCATAATGAGGCAGACATACTTTTATTATATTCCTTGACCATGATGAAATGGGTGTGGCAACTTGACCATAATAAAATGGGTGTGGCAACCTGACCATGATAAAATGGGTGTGGCAACTTGTTATTTCAGGTTATTGCAAATGTATTTTTGAGTTTGGAGTAAAAGTAACTATTTCAGTAATAACCGAGGCGTCTAAATTCCATATTCTATATAATGTAATATAACTGTGCCGTTCTCCTACTGTTTTTCAGCAGCCTTGACCCTGAAATTATTGGCTTAGGTACTGGTTGTATGGTCGAACCACATGTAAGGCAAAGACTTTCAGATTTAGGAGGAAAAAAAAAGTTTTCCACTGATGGCGGCTGTTAATTTGCATATACATGTAATGCATTATGTAATAAAGTGATATATATTCTAAATGTGTTTATTTGCTTCCCTGGCCACGAAAACATGGGTTTAGACACAAGTTCCACCAAATTTGAACATTTGATGTCCAAGTTATAGAATAAAGACAATATGTTAATCATGACATTATGCTAATTAGCATATTACGTAATTTGAACATTTGATTGCCAAGTTATAACATAAAACATGACATTATGCTAATTAGCATATTACGTAATTTTACCCCTTTCCACCATTCTGGAACTACTCTGAAATACATCGCAGTGAAATTAATTCTGGTCTAACCCCAGATTGACTGGACTATGATAGACCGAAAACCTACATCCCTTTGTTCCCCGTACAGTACTGAGCACCCCCACCCTTTCACTATGTTTCCCGTCCAGTACTGAGACGCTGCCCCAGACGCTGCCCCCCTCCCCCAATCAAGGGATCAATAACAGAAGTAGTAGTCAATAGTTAAGTGTGTTTATACGATGCTTGTGATTTGTGCCAGATAATCCCGTGACCTACCGTCATAACGAATAGTTGGTAGATTTCCAACAATCGTTCACAGGGAATGATGCACATCGGACGGACTGGAGTGACGACAATATACAACCACATTTCAATGATGGTCTATAATAATTAGAAGGACATAGTTTTAATCAGGATAAAAGTAGTCTGATTATTTACGTCTTGTAATGTCAGTTATTTTAATAATTTCAATGATGGTGTATAAAAATTAGAAGGAACATTGACCATAAGTTATTAGTTTTAATCAGAATAAAAGAAACCTAATTATTTACGTCTTGTAATGTCAGTTATTTTATTAATTGTTACTTGAATTGTAAAGTTTCTATGATGATCAATAAATCCCATGACAGGATTACTGAATCTCTTACAGTCAATAAGATTAGTAACACAGGTAGAACTACCAGGTTTAACAGTCCCATTACATTCTTTAACTACAGATTGTCTATCATCTGTTTTATTTATAACTTTATATGTGACGTCAACATTACATGACGTAATACTTTTATCTTCTACGTCATTCAGGATTAATACAAGTAGTTTAACACATTGATACGCCATGTAAAACCTGAAACTACGTGTTGTTTACCATTATACCAATCTTTATAACCTGACACAGTATCCACATTAAAAACATCTTCAATCATATTCTGATAACAACTTACAATTTTACCAAGTTGATTAGTTAACAAAGTTTTATCTATCTCTACTACTTCAAATGTTGAATATCTTACATCAGGTATATCCAATTTTCTACAACAACTTTCATCTTTCTCCTGTCTAACTTTAGGTAATCTTTGTAGAACTTCAACAACAGACGAATCTTCTAAAACATGCACTGAATATTTAACACTAGCTTTTAAATCTTCGGTTAGTCTTTTAATGTCCTCCATTAATTTCCCCAATTTGGATTCTCCTTGTTCACTAGTTTTATATATTTCCTTTTTAACATTTTCTCCAATTTTACGAAATTCGGAGCAGATTTTATCCACCTGTGCATCTACTTTGTCACATTCTGTTTTTGTGCAGTTTTTTACTTCAATCAATTTACTATTTAAATTATCATAATGTTTCTGAAAATTGGTAATTTGTTTTTCTAAATCATCATTCAGAGTTTTTAGGTCTTGTCTGATATTTTGTCTGACTTCATCCTTCTGTAAATCTAACAAATTATGTCCTTGTCAGGCTCTCTGTCCTGCATCACTGACAAGGGAGAACCATGCCAGAAAATCTGGATGAACTTTCTCAACCAATGCAGGGATAGCAGGTCCTATACATACAATAATGTAATGAATAGCTGACATTGACAATTATTATGGTAGCAAGATTATCTTGTCAAAACTTCAAACACTCATAACTTAGAATAAATCAAGTTGACTGAAATCTACTATATTCTTTTTTCATTATCTAATTTTGAATTATTATTGCAAAAACTACCAGATCAAGGTAGTTATTAGAATATGTCTTGTCTAGCCAATCAGGAGCTGTTATGTCTTGTCTAGCCAATCAGGAGCTGTTATGTCTTGTCCAGCCAATCAAGGGCTGTTATGTCTTGTTTAGCCAATCAGGAGCTGGTATGTCTTGTCTAGCCAATCGAGAGCTGTTATGTCTTGAGCAAAAATGTAATTAACCAATAACATTGACATTTAAAAGTCAGGTTTCAAACAGATTGGGAAATGGATACGGAAGTAGTCCAAATTGGAACAAAAAAAAAAATGTAATTTGAATAAGATTAGAAAATGTTAGAATGCTTTGGCAACTGTTACTGAATCTGTAGAAAATGGAGGGGCCACCATAAATACATAAATACGATACACCATAAATAAGATTTGATGAATCGAGTTACGTAATTCATTCTATGAATTTCATTCTTCATTTGTTCAAGTGACGTGATACTCGTGACTATCACTTACCACTACAAATTCGCTTAAACTATAGACAAGATTAACCAGGCACTTTAACAGCCAGGAATTCAGGGACTTATGAAAGTTTGTATTTCTTCGAAAGGATGCCACAAAAATTCAAAGAGATTTTCACCCCAAATTAACCACTTTTATTCACTTAAATATATCTGGAACTGCTCCTTCAAATGAGTGATGAATAATGTGAAATATTTACATGTGAATACATCAAGTCCTAAAAATGTTTGTACAAATAGAGCACCCTGTCCATAAATAAATAGACATCTTCCACCATGTTGAACACACCTCAGTCATAAAATCATCAGGTTTAGTTTACTTTTATACATAGGACTAGTCCATTGATTTAATATATTAAATACAGGATCAGGACCAGAATAAAATACTCAGTGCCATGGAAATACAACAAACAGCTACATATGGACTTTTTCTTTCACCTGAAAAACACAGTAAAATATCTTGATTATGTAATATAAACACAGTAAAATATCTTTATTATGTAAAATAATTTAATACCGGAAATGAAAATGGGGTTTAACATCTGACTAGGTTAATGTATATATACGCCATTCAGTACGCCATGGAAGGAAATTTGCCCTGAGAGCTGCCTTTGTGTCTACTCTTCATCAAATTCTAACTTTCAAGGGTTCTTTAACATGCACAACTGGTCTTCAGGGTTTTCACACCATCCAAACAACTAGATGTTGTTTTCTTGTGTCGTCCACAAGTTCTTCCTAGTATTAATGATTATTATACAAAGTGCAAATCAAGAGTCACTTAATTAATAGAGCATCCATAAGATTTCTTAAAGTGATCAGACTCTACAGTAAAGAGAGGTTTTAAAGTCCACTCGACACAAACTAGGTCATTTCGGGACTAACATATGGTTCAATTTTATTTCAATAATTTGCTTGCACATAGAGGCTTTGAGCTGTTGAAGGAAACCGGTAACAACCCAAAAGGATGAACAGACGTCCTTACTCCTTGTCACATACATGTACAAGTGTGGGCCTATAAACTCTGTTTTGGCATATTTTACGAGGTTAAACTAAAACATCACACTGACATATTGGGATATGTACAGGTTTTATGCAGATAGAATCTTAACTAATCCTAACTCTTGTAAAAAGTCTAACACTTTACCATATAAACCCGGTTGGGCAAACTTGTAATGTAATAACTGACAAAGGTAAAATTCGATCTAATATCCTAATAATTGTTGTAAATAAATAGGGCCTACTATGTAAAAAAACAATGGGGGGGGGCGGATAAGAACTTGACACATTAGCAGACCTTATCACATTTAAACACTGTGGACGATGGATGGGTTGAGGGTGACAGCAATAGAGAGAGAGAGAGAGAGAGAGGGAGGGATGTAGACCATGGATGGGTTGAGGGTGACAGCAATAGAGAGAGAGAGAGAGGGAGGGAGGGATGTAGACCATGGATGGGTTGAGGGTGACAGCAATAAAGAGAGAGAGAGAGAGAGAGAGATGTAGACCATGGATGGGTTGAGGGTGACAGCAATAGAGAGAGAGAGAGAGAGGGAGAGAGATGTAGACGATGGATGGGTTGAGGGTGACAGCAATAGAGAGAGAGAGAGAGAGAGATGTAGACCATGGATGGGTTGAGGGTGACAGCAATAGAGAGAGAGAGAGAGAGAGAGAGAGATGTAGACCATGGATGGGTTGAGGATGACCTGAGAAAATAGACATATGGACGTGTTGATCAGGGTGATGACAATGGACATGTAGATTTCAATATAGAGACTTACCTATTCTTGCAAATTTCCAAAATATTCCTAGGAAGCTGAAATAAGAATTAGATGATGCCTACAATGATTTTAAAGCATTCATGTAAAAATTACAGTAAACACTTATAAACAAACAAAAAAAATATTATTAAATTTGCAAGAGAGAGAAATGGTGTTTAAGGTCCACTCACATAAACTAGGTCATTTCGGGACCAACATATAGTTCAATTTTATTTCAATAATTCGCTTGCGCATAGGGGTCTTTAGCAGTGGAAGGAAACCGGAGGACCCGCAGAAAACCCACAAGGTTGGACAGGCGACCCTACTCCTTGTACAACACCGAAGAATCGAAAACATTCGGCCATCCAACTCACCTATAAACATTGCAAAGTTACCGAGGAAATGGGGTCTTATTGTTCCACTCCTAATGGGTTAATAAAAACAGCCAGGTATATGATATACTGTGTGCCATGAGGACAATTTTGCTGGGACAGCGGCACTACGGCCTACTCTTATTTCGATTTTCCAACTGTCAAGGGTTCTTTTTTTTACATGCACGCCAGTGTGTACATGGGATCTCGGTTTCTCATCCCTTACATGCACGCCAGTGTGTACATGAAACCTCTGAGGTCCCATCCGAACAACTATACGTTGCCCACTGTCTTACATCACTGACAATAGATCTATTGAGAGTACTCACCCTGTTTTATTTCTATCAATTATACTAGGTATAATAGATCTCAGGTAAGTACAGGTACATATCAATAATAATAAAACCGTTAATAAACTCTGGAAATTAAACAAGGCCGACTGAAAAAAAAAGAAAAGATTCACTGATTAGTAGAATATTTTGAGTCACTTGTATACAAATACTTTATTAAGGTACACCTGTTAGTGACACCTGTAACGGATACCTGTCAGGTATATATATAATAACATATAATAACTTGTGACAATGTCTGTGACAGGTGTGCTGTATGTCCAGGTATTGTTATAATCATGCACTGTGCTATGTGTTAAATTGTTCCAGGACAGCGGTGCTATGATTTGTATCTGTCAAATTTCAAATGATCTTTATGTGCTACCATATTGTTCCATCTGAACGACTCGACGGTTGTTCTTACCAAACATTTTTATCCTGCAACACAAGCTGGGGATCTTTCACCAGTAACAACTAAATATACATTAGTAGACTAAACTTTTGGTATGTGTAGGATATAAACAGCATGGGGATATACTCTGCTAGGGGATATACGATATATACTGCTGGGAGATAAACGATACGTAGGGTATATACGATATACACAGCTAGGGGATATACGATATGTAGGGTATATACGATATACACTGCTAGGGGATATACACTGCTAGGGTATATACAATATACACTGCTATACGATATACACTGCTAGGGTATATACCATATACACTGCTGGGAGATAAAAGATACGTAGGGTATATACGATATACACTGCTAGGGGATATACGATATGTAGAAATGGTAAGTAGACCAACATATCATCCAGAGAGGGGTACAAGCTCTGGTGGTCAAGCGACCCTACTCCTTGTCACATTCAAGCGGGGATTCGAAACCACACAAATTGACTCAATAAGCTCGTTTACATTACAAATTTTAAGCGTGCCAGGCACGGTAATTTTTTGTAGTGTAAACGGGTCAAACCTAAGCGTGCTGTACAATCTGGCCCACTGAAGTGAGGTCTCGGCACGGTGCCAGGCACGGCACGGTTAAATTTTCGTAGTGTAAACGCTATCCAGTATGAGCATGGTTTCAGTACGGATTACTGCGCATGCGCCAAACGAACCTTGACCTTTATTCCTGCAAAACTTGACAGTTCTGTCTAAATAGCTGCGCAAACTAAATAAATCGCCATAATTGTTTTCTTCTGGGTAATTTGCATAGGGACTGAAATTAACTTTTCTGTGAAGAGTTCCACATTTGGCGTGCCTGGCACGGCTCTGAGATTGGTTATTTTAGAGTAATGTAAACAGGTCAATTTCTTGAAATTTATCACGGCCTGGTACTGTGACGAGAACGGCGCGCTTATCGCAAGGTTATCGGGGCCAAGTGTAAACAGGGCTAATGACAGAGATTACACGCACTCTTTAAAACACTAGCCCGCCCCCCAATCGTTTTGGTTTTTACTGTAATTTCTAATCAGTCACAGTATGTTCGGCGAAATACTTGAAGAGTCAAAACTGAATGGCAGTGCATCTTTTTACCTTGGGTTATTCCAGTCTATACAGGTAGTATTCTCATGTAGGATATATTTAACCTCGTGGATCACGTCGATTCATTACAAATGGCGTTCGAAAGCATTCTGGCAATTGATTCGTGTGCCAATTTTTTAAAATTTTCATTTTGTCTTAAATATTGGATATCAGAAGCCCATATTTTCACGGTAAGATAGCAACATCAATGCTGATTTAAATTGACAGGCAGTCATGTTTGCAATGTCGAAGACTGTGGATGATACTGAGTTAGAGGCTTACCATCTTTAACCAGAGGTGATTTCTAACACAGGCAAGTTTTTAATATTATAAGTAGTTTGTTTACAATCGAAGAATTTGTTTATAATTTATAACAGTTCTTATCAGACACCACATTTTATATCTTTTTAGTCTATATTCGGTGGCAGAGGTACGACAAACACTTAAAAACATTTTAGTCCATAAAACCACAACAACGTCAATTGCTGCAGTAATGAAAAGACAAATCTAATGCAGCTGGCTGATAGTCTTACTTTCAATTTATCATTTTCATGATTAGTCGGTTAAGTGAACTAAGTCGGATAAACTTATTTCGCCCATGTTTTTCCGCCAATTAATTTTGTGTGCTCTATCAATCGGGCGTTTTGTGTCATTGTTAAATCGTATTCAATGATATTTAATTGACAAATTTACTAACCATTTTCTTCAGACCATGAGAAAGTTCAACGCGTTCATTTTTCCGAAAGCTAATAAAATCTATTTTGAGTGGATCATCTATTTATATCGTCCAATAGAATCAAATTTTGCAGGATGGAAGAGACGCGATCTTTGAGTCATTTATATTCATAGCCATTTACTTAGGCTTCCTTAACCAGTATTAAATTTAACCTAAATCAAAAATTTATCAACTAATCTGCTACGGAATGATATCAGAAATATTATACCTTTTAAAAATTATTTCACTGAAACAAATGTCAGAATAAAAAAAAATTTGTATTGCTAAAAAGTTTGCAAATTTTTATTTTCAATAGACTGCAAGCTGGCAGATGTATACTTTTATATTTCGTTTCGTTTAAATCCACCAATCTGACGTTTTGTTACAATATGGCTGTCAAAAGTGGAGTAAATTTGTAAATAAACAACAAACTTTACAAATATAGTAAAATAATTAAATTACAGAGGCTAACGGGTTATTTTTTTTATAGATTGACTTTTTATATGTGTCAATAATATATTCTTTAAATACCATTTTGATACCCGCCTCATTGATGTGGATGCCGGAAGATCCACATATAGGCTATAATATATGTAGGCCTAACAGTAACAGGCATTGCCTGAAGTAGAGCGGCTCTGATGATGTGTTTAAGGTCATGAGACGAAATATCCTATTGATTTTTAGCGATTTCGGATAATTTTTGAAAGAGTTATGGCCCTTGATCACTTTGAAAAATCTTGTGGACGCTCTAGAGGCTAAAGTTAATATCCGATTGACTTTAAATTTATACACAGTCATGTTTAAGGGCATGAGACAAATCTAAGCTTATTGATTTTCAGCAATTTCTAATAATTATGGCCAGAGTTATGGCCCTTGATCACATTGAAAAATCTTGTAGACGCTCTAGAGGTTAAAGTTAATATCTGATTGACTTTAAATTTATACACAGTGTTTAAGGTCATGAGATGAAGCAGCCTATTGATTTTCAGCGATTTCTGATAATTACTGCCAAAGTTATGGCCCTTGATCACTTTGAAAAATCTTGTGGACGCTCTAGAGGCTAAAGTTAATATCCGATTGACTTTAAATTTATGCACAGTGTTCGAGGATATGGGATGAAGAATCATATTGATTTTCAACGATTTATTACAATTACTGCCAAAGTTATGGCTCGTGATCACTTTGAAAAATCTTGTGACACTCCAGAGGCTGAAGTTATCATCCGATTGACTTCAGATTGATACACAGAGTTTAAAAGGTCTTGAGATGAACAAGTATATTGATTTTTTAATGAATCTTTATGACTTGAACAACTAAATCCATGATGTTAAAAGTTTTGGATACAAAACATTAGCATGGGGCAGAACTTTATAAAAACCAAACAAATTCTAATGGTTTTCTGATAATTACTTAATGAGTTGTTACTGTTAATCAGATTTTAATGTACATTATAGATGTTTCATTACCGAAAAGAGTAAAAATATGCGACAACTCTTGTTGACTGCCCTGACGATATAGCGGCTGTGTGCTTAGTTTCGTTGCGTGGCAACCTATCTTCCGAATTGATTTTAATTTAGATCTAAATTGTATGATTAATTAATTTTGTTTTAAAAAAAAAGAACAAAACAGTGTAACTGTGAGAATTATTTTCATTGATGTCAAAAATATGTGACGTCATTGATTAGACGTGTCATAGAAATATTTCTATAAGATGCGTAATCTCGTTTGGGTGAGATTTGGTAAATTTACATGCTCGTTACCAGTTTTGCCCAGTCCGGTTCCGGTCTGAATTTTTTTTTAACCGACAGTCTGTTGGTGACAGTTTTAGTTACGCTCCAGTGTTACTGGAAAAGAGATTTGCTCAAGCACTGGGCTGTGGAGCTTCGCTCTTTATCAATGTCAGTATCAAAGTACAGCCACAAAGTACAGACACAAATAAATCGGCATTTATATTCCCAGGGTACGATCCTACCCACAACCCAGCTTTTGATATTCTCCAGTCAGATTTGGAGTCAGATCAACTGGAAACAACCATTTAACTAAATGGCCTGAGTCAGTGAGTGTAGAATGACGTTGGTTGTTGTCAAATATAAAACCTCCACAATAAACCCTTTTGTGAACCAAAAATATTAATCAATTTCATTCCATGTGGATATCAAATTTGTTCTTTAAGTTAAATTTTATATGAGTATTAGGTTAATTTTGTTAAATATCAAAAAGTGTGAAAATTAATTAGCTACGTAATTTCGTTTGGGTGAAATTTGGTAGAAAGGAGGAGATAACTCTTACCATGTTAACATGCACATGCATTAGATCTATTTGATAAGGCCAACTTCAAGTTTGGTCAAAGGTCACGAGATGTAAACAGGGCTAGCGCTAGCACCAAACCTAACCCTAACCCTGGCCTTACGTATACTAGCCCATGCACATTATCTGTTTTGCCCAGTGTATCCTGTTCTGGTCTCAAGCCAACAGATGAAGGTTTCAGTTATACTATTTTGTTCCCGGAAAAGAACTTTGGTCTATATTAGCCAGGTCGATGTAGGCCTACCTAATAATGACATAGTAGGCCTGATTACTGACATGACATCAATCAATCCCCCAAACTCACGCGTTGATATCAACCCTATTCATTTTAATTTTTTAATAAATATCCATGATAGCTACTCCATTAATATTAGCTTTGTGATAAATATCCACAAAATCTGTTTTAGTGTAAAATAAAAGCATGAGTAAAAAGGTTCTTTCAAAGATTACAACCGATGGAAGTCAGCAGTTTTTTCTGTTAACGACGATACCAGTGGATAAAGAAGATGGTTTTAACTTGTTACTAACGGATGGACAATCAACATGGACAGGAACTTGTAAGTTATACATGGGGGATATAGGGACTTGTATACATGGGGGATATAGGGACTTGTATACAAAATAGTTATGTTCAACTAACCCCCACTTCCTATTCAGCAGCAGGAGTACCGGTCATGCCGACGTTAAAAAGAATTAAATATATATTTATGGGCACCCTCCGCCCCTGAGCGATTTACCGACTGGCCATCCCTCTTCTAGGTCTTATTACAACCATCCTACATACCAGCTGACCCTCCCTCTTCTTGGCCTTATTACACCCCTCAATGTTCCCAACACCACCTAACTATTTGATCAAAAATTACAACCGCTCCCGGAGTCAAGCTAGCACACAATAAGCTGGCAGACAACAATCGGGTTGCCAGTTAGTGAAACCCTGACATTTTTGCCCAGTTCTTGCCCCATGGGTATTTTTGGGGTAATCCAGTATTTTTCTAGTAAGATTGTGGGTCTATACCTTTCATATAAACCAAATTTGCCCTGCTTTTATTGGAAATAACCACAGGATAAATACTTTCGTGACAATGTATCTATAAATTCCATTTTATTATAGTTTCAGCTGATAATATGGACAAACAGCGTAAAAGGTTAAAAATGGATTTTACCTCGTATTTTAATCAAACTGAAAAAGCCTTCATCAAAGATGATAATGAAGTGAATTTTGAATACAGTGTTAAAATTAAAAATGATGATACAGCTGAATTGGTGTGGAAGAAACATGTCACCTCAGATGATATTAAGGTAAATTGTTTGTTCACTTTTTATACGCCCACATTGAAATATTGTCGTCACCTCCGTCTGTCCAGCGTCCATAATTACTTGTAGACCTTCGAGAGGCTAAAGTAATTCATGCACAGTGTTTATGGTCATGAGACGAAGAATTATATTGATTTTCAAAGATTTTAAATAATTATTGCCAGAGTTATGCCCCTTGATCTCTGAAAAATCTTGTGGACGCTCTCAAGGTTAATGTTAATATCCGATTGAAATATGGTCAAATATTGTCGTCACCTCTGTCCGTCCAGCGTCCATATTTACTTGTGGACCTTCTAGAGGCTAAAGTAATTCCTACACAGTGTTTATGGTCATGAGATGAAGAATCCTATTTATTTTCAACGATTTCCGATAATTACTGTCAGAGTTATGCTCTTGATCACTTTGAAAAATCTTGTGGACGCTCTCAAGGGAATGAAATGAAATGGGTTTAACGTCTTACTGTTCTGCTCCGAACTGGGCTAATGAAGACAGGCATACGCCATACAGTGTACTATGAGGGAAATTTGGCCCGGACATCGGCACTACGACCTACTCTTATATCGAATTCCAACTGTCAAGAGATATTTTACGTGCACACCAATGTGTATACAGGACCTCGGTTTTTCGTCCCATACGAACGACTAGACGGCTGTCCTTGTCAGGCCCTCCGTCCTGTAATCATTGACAAGGGGGGAACACGCCGGAAAATCTGGATGAACTTTCTCGGCCAATGCAGGGATCGAATTGTATTTAAATAGTTTACAGATATTAAGATCTTGTTGCAGGCATTAGGAGGAGTGGTATTTCCCACAATTCTTGACTTCCTGGAGTTTATTATATTAATAATGTATATACAATATAGTTTCAGTACGGTAGAGCAGGGTTATAGTGACTGGTATAGGTTTATAGCGACTGGTATATGTTTATAGTGACTGATATATGTTTATAGTGACTGGTATATGTTTATACTGACTGGTATATGTTCTATAGTGACTGGTATATGTTTTATAGTGACTGGTATATGTTTATAGTGACTGGTATATGTTTTATAGTGACTGGTATATGTTTAAAGTGACTGGTATATGTTCTATAGTGACTGGTATAGGTTTATAGTGACTGGTATATGTTCTATAGTTTCAGTTAGGATGTATAACTCTAATGTTAAAAGATGACCCAGGGACTGGTATATGTACGATATTAAATCATAGCGTAGTCAACAGTGAACGAGATCAACATCAACTTAAACAGCTAGAAACAGATAATAACAGACTGTCACAAGAACGGATGATGGCGTTAAAGGTGATGACACTGTAGTATTTAAAATATATTTGATATTACTGTAGTATTTAAAATATATTTGATATTACTGTAATATTTACGCACCTTTATAAGATAATAATCTGTTTATTTAATCGTTAGCGACCAAGATCGAGCGTTGTCGTTTTAGATGATTACAATGTAGTACTGTCTCAAATAACAATTACTATGGTTTATTTCACTGTGACGTTTCAACAAGATTTCACAAGTCGTTATCAGGCATGTATCAACATAAATAAATATATATATATATATATATATATACAAGAGCAGTGCGAACCCTCACCAAGCATGAGCAACTGTTCCAAGCCGTTAATTGTGAAGCCTTTGGGTAATATTGTCTCAAAGTGATGGCTGTAATATTTTCCCACCTCATAAGATAATAATAATCTATTTGTTTAAAGTGTGTATGGCTCGACTATTCTTTGGAAGCTTAAAATAGTTGAAAATGGTTCTAAAAGCAGAAATGAAATGAAATGAAATGGGGTTTAATGTCCTACTGTTCTGCTCCTATACTGGGCTAATGAAGACGGGCATACGCCATACAGTGTGCTATGAGGGAAATTTTGCCCGGGCAGCGGCACTATCACCTACTCTTATATCGAATTCCAACTGCCAGAGGATCTTTTACGTGCATTCCAATATATACACGGGACCTCGGTTTTTCGTCTCATCTGAAGGACTAGACAGCTGTCCTTGTCAGGCCCTCCGTCCTGCATCATTGACAAGGGGGAACCCCGCTGGAAAATCTGGATAAACTTTCTCGGCCAATGCAGGGATTGAACACCCGACCTCCAGACTAGCGAGCCAGCGTCTTACCCATTTAGCCACGTGATCCCCCGGTTCCAAAAAGCAGATATTAATGTAATATGTGTGTACGTATAGTGAAAATCATCTTCTGTATCCCCAGTGATATCTACTCCACACAATACCCTCCATTCTACTCCACACAATACCCTGGGTTTCATTCTACTTCATTATACTCTGAACCAATCAAAAAACAGTTTACATACGAGTCATAGCGTCATTGTTTATTATTATTATTATTATTACAGCATATTTATAGTGCACCCTTTCATATAACATGTTCAGGGGCACTTTACAAAGTGACAATGTAAATCACACATAAACAACAAGATTATGGGCATGTTAACGATTGTATACAGAGTCAGTTAAAAGCCTGATTAAATAAATGTGTTTTAAGTTGTTTTTTAAAAGAATACAGAGATGTAAAACATCTTAAACTAAATGGTAGATTATTCCATAAAACAGGTGCTTGATAACTAAAAGAGCGCTCACCATAGGAGACTAGTTGAACAGTTTTGGGCTTTAAAAGTAGTTTATCTGATGTACGTAATGTTCAGCCAGGTGTATAAAGTTCTAAAAGATCTGAGAGGTAAACAGGAGCTAAATTATTTAAACATTTAAAAGTAAGTAATAAAATCTTAAAATCAATTCGATATTTAACAGGTAACCAGTGTAAATTATATAAAACAGGAGTTATGTGGTCACATTTCTTAGTTAAAGTAACAAGTCTAGCCGCAGTATTCTGTACTTTTTGTAATTTATCTATAAGCTTTAAAGGTAAACCAACTAAAAGTGAATTAAAGTTATCTAATCGAGAAGTGACCAGAGAATTAACAATTGACTTAGTGGCCTCTACAGTTACACATTTACGTATTTTACCTATATTTCTAATATTAAAATAGCACAATTTACAAATATTATTTACTTGAGCTCCCATAAGCATAAAACTATCAAAGATAGGGCCAATATTACGAGCAGAATAAGATGAAAATATATCACAATTACCAATTACAACAGGGGGGTTATCTTGTGCAGATTTACTTAATTGATGCCTTGAGCCTAATAACAAATATTCGGTTTTATCATCATTCAATTTTAGAAAGTTCTTTGACATCCATTTTCTAATTTCACTAATACAGTTCTCAAGTTGCAATTTTGATAAATTGAAAGAAGATGGACAGTTAGGTGTAAATGAAATATATAATTGAGTATCATCAAATACAAATGAAGGCTGAGACCATATTTTCTGACAATATCTCCTAATGGTGACGTATAGAGGGTAAATAAAATCGGACCAAGAACAGAACCTTGGGGAACCCCAGATGACAAAACAGATTCAGACGACGATTTGCAATTAACTAAAATACACTGTTTTCTACCCAGAAGATAGCTCTCTAAAAGATTTACATTCCCTTCACCCACTCGATTGGTCGATAAAAATAGCACAAGTATCAAGGGCAGATAATTTGACCGTGTCTCCCCCGTGAATGAACCCAGAGTATGCTGGAGTAGAACGGAATGATACCACTGATGATACTGACTGTCTCCCCCGTGAATGAACCCAGGGTATGGTGGAGTAGAACGGAATGATACCATTGATGATACTGACTGTGTCTCCCCCGTGAATGAACCCAGGGTATGGTGGAGTAGAACGGAATGATACCACTGAGGATACCTAGGATGAGTGAAAATTGAAAAAAATTATTTTGAAATTTCTAATCATTTATGTTTGGTGAAATACTTGAATAGTCCAAATTGAATGGCAGTCGTTTGGGCCTGTTTAGTCCATTCTACATGTTTTTAGACATGTTTCGTGAATCAGTAATTTTTAAATATTTTCACGTTAAGGTGTAGAGTTGCCTGTCAACCTCGTTGGTTTTCCCTGAGACCTCTGGTTTCCTCCCTCTATTAAAGACACTTACGTGCAAGTGAATTATTGAAATATTTTTTAACCATATGACAATTCTTCCCAAGGTCAAAAAATAACAGCTCTGTAGGTTTGTTTCCAATTTCAACTTTTCTTTTATAGAGGCTAGAAAAATATATTGCTGCAAAAGAAGAAATGGAAAAAGATTTATTTTCAAAGGTAAATAACATGTCATCCAAGTATGAATGATTTATCATTTGTATTTGTGTAATAAAAGACACAATAAGAAAATCTGATTCTTAATTTTAGTTTTAAATATTTTATTAAATAAAACTAAATAAGGTTTACTGTCTAACATTCCTGTACCACGTGTTATTGAGGGTTAGGGTTAGAATAAAACTAAAAATGGTTTACCGTCTAACGTTCCTGTACCACGTGTTATTGAGGGTTAGGGTTAGAATAAAACTAAATAAGGTTTACCGTCCAACGTTCCTGTACCACGGGTTATTGAGGGTTAGGGTTAGAATAAAACTAAAAATGGTTTACTGTCTAACGTTCCTGTACCACGGGTTATTGAAGGAGGAAAATTGGTTTAATGGACAGAAATTTTGACTGGACAGCACCATGTTCCTGAAGCAATGACTGCAAGTTTTACAACATCTAGCCATTATCTCCCTTTACTGCACACACATGAACAGTAGCGTTGTGCAATCGGAGGTCGGGACACATAAACACTCAAATCAGACATGGCGACCTACAATTAATGATGAAATATGCAGGGTATTACGTGAAAGACTTGATAAGATTACAGAGTTAAAGCAAAATCAAGCCTTCTAGTGATGGTAATTTTTACAGGACAGTGTAGTTTCTGCCTACTCTTGATCAAGTTCGAGTTGTTGGATCTTCTTTAATGTGGACACCATCTCGTACTCAATGGACCACCAGTTTTCATCCTTTTCCTTACTGAACCAGTGACATGAGGAAAGCATCCTGGAAAATCTCAAGAAACCTTCTCGACAAACACCAAGATCAAAGTCAGGATCTCCCGGTTAATTATTATCATCTACATAAATATCTTTTATTTTTAGTTTGTGGCCATATTAAATAGTAAAAAAGAAAAAATAAGAAATTTAAAAGAAAATGGTTCAGGTAAGAGAGACTTTAGGGTTTAACATCCACTTGAAACTAACAAGATCATTTCACAATTAACATATGGTATAATAATTTGTTTACAGGGAATATTTTAATATGACTCAAGTTGTTATTAGATTTATGAGTTTGACTCAAATATGAATGATTTTTATATTACATATAATTATTTTCAGTTAAAAAATATTTTTATATTACTTTTAAAAACATATTCAAATCAATTAATTTATTATAATTTTGCTTCAAATCCTTCTCAAAACATTGTAATTGTCAGGGAATACCCCTGCTATAAAAAATTGATCAAAAGAGGTCATTGTTGTGTCAAGTGACTTAGCTGTCTCGGTACCTAGCAACAGGTGCGAAGCCGGAGGAGAATTCATTGCATATACAAGACGATGCTGTCTTTAATCGCTGACTGTTTATTACAAATATCGAAGCCCAATAAATTATTGGATTATCCACTGCCCTAGTTTTTTTCCGTGGTTTTTAAGTCAGAAACTGTTGCACGATCAAGTTTATCAACATATACATCAAGCGCTCACTAACTCGTGCTATATTTGATGTGTTATTACAGGTGATGATAATGAGAAAGATGATGGAACATCAGGTAACACTTATTCCGTTTTATTTATGATGACTAAATCTTTATTTCACACCCAGCATATACATGGGGAGCCACGGTGGCTCAGTGGGTGAAACGTTGGCTCGTTTACCTGGAGGTCTCCTGTTAAAGTAGGATGTTAAACCCCATTTTATTTCTGAGGGTATAAATGAAGGAATTAAAATCTGTATTTCTTATTCTTTTGGAAACTTGCTCATGTATAAGGTCATGTTGAGACTAACATCAACTTAACACTGACTAGGTCATGTTGAGACTAACATCAACTTAACACTGACTAGGTCATGTTGAGACTAACATCAACTTAACACTGACTAGATCATGTTGAGACTAACATATGGTGCTCTCATGTTAATAATTCACCTGTTTGTTTAACAACAGGAGGAAACCAAAGGACCTGCAGAAAAACCCTGAGATTATTCATGCCTCTTGACTTAATAACAGGCCTAGTGATCTAAAGTACTCCCTGACTTGATCATATTGAGACTAACATTTGGTATTCATGTCTCTTGACTTAATAACAGACCTAGTGACCTAAAACTCACCCTTTATACTGTTTATTTCACCCTTGATCATCAGGTCATACAAAAACAATATATTCCTTCCTAAATATCTGATACATGTTGTTAAATGTATGATTATCCAGTATTATTGTCAATAACATTTATCAGGGATGCTTACTTGGTAATTGAGCCTACAATGTTTATGCATTTCCATTCAAGTTTACCCGGAGAAAACAATTTGATGCGATAATTAATGAGACCATTTGTATTGTTCTTTATTTAAAATTAAAACAGGTGGTAGGCTCTCTTTAAATGATGTAGCAGTATCTTAGAAAAATAATTTTTGTGTTTGGTCTATAGTACTGAAATCTTTAACAAGGTAAAAAGGGTTGAGGTGCCCAAGGGTAGATTTGTCTGGTTCTTTGGTACAAAAGGAAAAATAATATCAATTGTGAACAATAGCATGATATAACTGTAGGACAGCCATTCTGGTATCAATTGTGAACAATAGCATGATAACTGGTATTAACCAGTGGTCGTATGACCTGCCAACTGCATTAGCCAGTCTGGTATTAACATTACCAGAAAAAAAATATTCTTTTGAAAGTATTCTGATTTGTTTCGTCTGCTTTTAATAGGCTGTTCAGGAAAACTGCACAGCAGAACACAGACATAGCAAACAAAACATGTATGAGACATGTATAAACACATTGGTTTAAAAAATATAAAAATAGAATTGAAGATGATAAGATTATATTTTACATTTTACAGTGTCACAGTTGAATTCTACTCGAAATGGTAGACAAAACAGAGAATAACGGGTTGAAACAAATAAAGAAGAAAGGTAAATAAACCTTAATTATTGAACACCTGGCCATTACATGTACCTGGCTACATAAATAGACCTTAATTATTGAACACCTACAATATTGATGATTTGTTACTGAAAGCCAGCAGTAGTCCCATTATTTGATAAAATTTAGATTTTGTAGAGTCTGTGTTTGATCACCATTGTTTTTATTTTCTAGCGATAAAGAAGAAAATACAGATGAGGAAGAGGTAGGTTATATAAAATCATTCACTGGATTTGATGTTTGCTTATATGGTGCAATGTCTATTTTCTGTCTTGTCTGCAGGTTTATCTTGTAGATTTTTGTTTTGCGTGTAGTGTGGTCCTCCTGCACTTACTAATAGAGTTACTTCCCTTTCAGTATTCTGTTTATTTTTGAATATTACATGATATCAATAATCAATATTTATTGAATGATGAAAACCTATTCAAAGTACTATATAAAGTGATATTATTTATTTATTTTAGACGCCACCACCTGAACGTCAGAGAAAGAATGTGGGCCGTAAAACTGGTGATCTAGATTCATCGTTAGATTTAGGGGATGACGAGATTACATCATCATCTTCTACGATAGTTAAAAGGTAGAATTTATACACAGTAGGGTTTAACTAAACAGATAGATTACTCATACACTAGGGTTTCAGTGTTGAGTCAGATGGTTGTTATGGTAACTATATGTGAATATTATGGTTATTATGTTGTATTTTTAAGGTCAGCTAGAAAGAGAGGAAGTGTAAGAACAGCGACACCAAGTAAACCTATTTTACCTAAAATAACTAGAAATACGTCCAATGAGAGGTAATTACTGTTATAAACATAATTTATCTAAAATAACTAGAAATACATCCAATGAGGGGTAATTTATAATGGTTCGCATTTGCATGTTGTAACATAAGGTCTGTCATTGAGTCAACTGGCGTGGTTTCGAATCCCTGGTTGTACTAGACCACCCAACTACACTTTTCGAACAATCAGAATCGAGCAAATTTCTAATTTGTGCTACAATCTACATTAGCCCTGTCGGAGCAGAACAGTAGGACGTTAAACCCCATTTTATATTATTTAATGTCAATCTTTCATATAATTCATATAATATATATATTTTATTTTATATTTTTAGCTATGATGGTGGTCGAGGTCGGATGAGTAAAAGTAGTTCTAATAATTCTAATGTATCTAATATAGATCCTGAAGATTTGTTCAGTGTTTTGTAGACTTATTTATCAGACAGAATAGTACATAACTGTTTGTATCTGGTTTATTTATCAGACATTTCAATCAGTTTCTAATGTGCTTGATACTGAAATTTGAGAGAACAACTGTAATAATAGGAGGTAGCCATTGTTTACGATTCAGACATAATGTTGTGTATTAATTGTATAATTTGTATATAATACAGGCATAATGTTGTGTATTAAACATAACCTAATATTGTATATATCACATGAATATACTACTGCTAATATAATAGAATATATTGTATTAACATGTTTGTTTGTTTGTATCTAAGACGCCATGTTGAATGTCCCAACTTGTTGTTGTTTATTAGGTGAATGTTTGTGATTAGTTGTTTCTGCTTAGGCTAAGTAGAGATAATTAATTTTATACCTGCTGGAGTATAATTAGTTCAATTATATCCATACCTTGACTAAGTTTGATAATGGTGTGGAGACTTGATTAATAGTTCTATTAAATCCATACCTTGACTAAGTTCGATGATGATCAGTTTCTGTTCATGTTTTGCCAAGTTGATTGTGTGAGCTATAAACCAGTGGGATCACGGCGGTTGACATCAGCATTACCATTTTATGTGTTTGTCTTCAATTGGGAATCACGGTGGCTAAGTGGGTAAGACACTGGCTCGCTAGCCTGGAGGTAGGGTGTTCGATCCCAGCATTGGCCGAGAAAGTTCTTCCATATTTTCCGGCGTGGTTCCCCCATGTCACTGATGCAAGCCAGAGGGCCTGACAAGGATAGTTGTCAAGTAGTTTGGATTGGACGAAAAAATGATATCCCGTGTACACATTGGCGTGCACATAAAAGATCCCTTGACAGTTGGAATTCGATATAAGAGTATGCCGTAGCGCCTCTGCCCGGGCAAAATTTCCCTCATAGCACACTGTATGGTGGGTGTATGCCCGTCTTCATTAGCCCAGTTCGGAGCAGAACTGTAGGACGTTAAACCCAATTTCATTTCATTTTGTTTGTCTTCAAATAGACCAAATTACAACCAAATAAACAAACTTTTCAGCCGTGTGTAACTTGAATAATGAAGAAATATTGACTCCATTATAATAAATTGTAGGGTCAGGGTTGGGTGGTCCTGTGGTTTAACACTTGCACGTGAAGATCTGTCATTGAGTCAATTGGTGTGGTTTCTATTCCCTGGAGAATCCCGATTTATTTTTTTTACTGTACTGGTTGTTGGTCCCAGTATTGACCAATCATAATTTGGGACAGAAATTGTACTGGTTGTTGGTCCCAGTATTGACCAATCATAATTTGGGACAGAAATTGTACTGGTTGTTGGTCCCAGTATTAACCAATCATAATTTGGGACACAAATTGTACTGGTTGTTGGTCCCAGTATTAACCAATCATAATGTGGGACAGAAATTGTACTGGTTGTTGGTCCCAGTATTGACCAATCATAATTTGGGACACAAATTGTACTGGTTGTTGGTCCCAGTATTAACCAATCATAATTTGGGACACAAATTGTACTGGTTGTTGGTCCCAGTATTAACCAATCATAATGTCGGACAGAAATTGTACTGGTTGTTGGTCCCAGTATTGACCAATCATAATTTGGGACAGAAATTGTACTGGTTGTTGGTCCCAGTATTGACCAATCATAATTTTTGGTCAATGGGATTAGGTTCAATCAAACGAAACACTACCAGGAATATTTATTCACGAAACGTCATTTACACTTTCAACCGCCATTTTTAGGCCCCAAACTATGACGTCATGGGTGTTATACTGGTCAAAAAACCCACACGCCTGGAATACATTGAAGTGTTTTTGGTGTTTAATACGTTACGTTCATGTAGTATTTATCAGAATAAGTATTAACTGTGGACAAACTGGAATTTATAACGATACTCATGAGTACAGTCACTTGACCCCATTTTCTCAGTGTTGCACGTGGGTAGAGTTTTTTCCCGAACTTTTCCCTTGCATTAAAGGGTGAGCGATAGAGGCCGAATCGATTTTAAAATTGAATTTATTTTCTAGCTTTGGTTACATGAGTCATCAATATATATTGAAAACATTTGGGTCAACTAATAGCATTGAATATTGCGGAGTCCGCGAGAAAACAGGTTATCTCCCTTGCATGATAATGAGTAGATTATCTAAACATAATTCAGATAGAAGTTCAATTATTATTTATTACTTTAATTGTAAAGGAACATTGGTCATAAGTTAATAGTTTTAATCAGAATAACAGTAACCTAATTATTAATCTCGTACAATGTTAGTTAGTTATTTTATTAATTGTTGTTTGAATTGTAAAGTTTCTATGATCATCAATAAATCCACTGACAGGATTACTGAGTCTCTTCCAGTCAATACGATGAGTAACACAGGTAGAACTACCAGGTTTAACAGTCCAATTACATTGTTTAACTACAGATTGTCTATCATCTGTTTTATTTATAACTTTATATGTGACGTCAACATTACATGACGTAATACTTTTATCTTCTACGTCATTCAGGTATAAGTCAACATATAATGATGATGAGTGTTTACCCACACCAACAAAGATACTCCATGTAAAACCTGAAACTACATGTTGTTTACCATTATACATACGACCTCTCACAGTATCCACAGTATCCACATTAAAAACATCTTCAAACATATTCTGATGACAACTTACAATTTTACCAAGTTGATTAGTTAACAAAGTTTTATCTATCTCTGCTACTTGAAATGTTGAATATCTTACATCAGGTATATCCAATTTTCTACAACAACTTTCATCTTTCTCCTGTCTAACTTTAGGTAATCTTTGTAGAACTTGAACAACAGACGAATCTTCTAAAACATTCACTGAATATTTAACACTAGCTTTTAAATCTTCGGTTAGTCTTTTAATGTCCTCCATTAATTTCCCAAATTTGGATTCTTCTTGTTCACTAGATTTCTGCATTTCCTTTTTAATATTTTCGCCAATTTTACGAAATTCGGAGCAGATTTTATCCACCTGTGCATCTACTTTGTCACACTCTGATTTGTTACAGTTGTTTACTTCAATCAATTTACTATTCAAATTATCATAATGTTTCTGAAAATTGGTAATTTGTTTTTCTAAATCTTCATTCAGCGTTTTTAAGTCTTGTCTGATATTTTGTCTGACATCCTCCTTCTGTAAATCTAAAAAATTATGTCCGTTATGATTGGTCACGAAACAGTTGAAACACACGGCTAGTGAACAATCTTTACAGTAAATTTTTACTGTCTCATCTTCATGGTTTGGACAGAAATCTTTCGGATGTGTGACGGAAGTGGCTGTTGTCTTTTCCTTCATTGGTTCGTTTGATTGTTGACAGACTTGTTTTTCATCATATCGACAAACAACATGGTCTTTACAAGATTTTAACTTATCATGCATGGTTTTACATGATTTACATAAATATTGATCACAGTCTCGACAAAAATATTGACATGTATCTTCAGTACATACATCGCATTGTGGAATAGTAGAATTGTCATCAATGTTTAGTTTAGGTTTAAAACGCTGTATACCCCCGTCTATAAGACACCGACATAATGGACATTGGAACTGGTCTTTAGTAGAGGTTTTGTTCACATAATCTTCTAAACAGATGAAACAAAAAGTATGTTGACAATCTATCAAAATCGGTGTTTCAAAGTCATGTAAACAAATCATGCACACGTCTTTATCTGTCTGTTTAGCCATGTTGAATACAATACGAGTTGAAACAGGATAAAACTACAGAATCAATCAGTAGTCAGATATAACATACGACAGTGTAGTTTACAGTCTTACTGTTCCACGGGTTGTATAAAATACAGAATGAATCAGTTAGTCCAATATAAAACACGGTATAAAAATCAAAACTATTAGAACTGTATAGTTTACAGTCTTACAGGTAACTAGTCTACTAGATCACTGACACAACAATACAACAACTTCTTCTCTCTAGTCAACATGGACGTCACGAGTCACCTCGAACACTTTATCCTGCCTTGACCCCGAGGTCATCAATCACGTGATATTAAACTACGACAGTTAATACGTAAACAAACTGTATACGTGAGATATACATGTGGTATTGGACTGTATACAAGGGGTATTTGAGATATTTCTACTTCCCCGGTCAGTCATACATAATGTTTTGTTTCAATCAACATCAATGTAAATTCGTCGAGCAAACCAGATAATATCTACATTTATACGTCAGGGTGTCAGTGTCAACATATATTAACTTGCTACAATTTCTCAGAAAGTCAAAACGATTAAAACACTAGAGTTTACTGCAGTCTTGCGGGTAAACAGTCTACTAGATAACTAAGACAACAAAACCACATTTCATTCTCTTTAGTCATCATCCACGTTATAGATCACTCTACTAGATTCTAATTCCAACTGTCAGGTTGTCTTGTACATGAACACCAATTTCGGTTGTCCAGGTTTATTGTACATGAACACAAATATGTATACAGGGTTATTTTTATTGGTTTCTCGTTAACGGTTGATTGAGTTTGAATATGTTAGATATATATTATAAACATATTTCTATAGACTACCTGTATGTTACCTGTACAGGTGTATATATTATAGTTTCATCAATTAATACCGAATAGGACTGTTGGTTTCTCGTTAACGGTTGATTGAGTTTGAATATGTTAGATATATATTATAAACATATTTCTATAGGCTACCTGTATGTTATATATTTATAGCTTCACTCACCAACAACAAAAGAATAGGTGAATAACAACCTGATATAATATTTCTTATATACAGTGTATCTTAATACAGATGACATGTACAAGCTGAATAACAACAATACTAGTCTATTGATAGGACAGGAGGACCGCACCACACATAAACAAAATACACTCATGACAAACACGTGGACAACACACACAATATACACATACAATTTAAATAATAAATGAAAAACATATTTATCAAATCAAGTGAATTTATCCGGGTACCAGTCACAAATCTCCACTGTTCTTTACAGAACCAGGTGTAATTAGTTTTAACAGTATATTATTCATTCACAGAACAAGGTCTGGTTAGTTTTAACAGTATTTCATTCATTTACAGAACCAGGTCTGGTTAGTTTAAACAGTATTTCATTCATTTGATCAAACAACAGACACGGTGTATAAAAGTTATATGTGCTTTATTCTAACAGATTTCTTTTCTTATCGAATCACAAACTTCAGAATGTAACACAATCACTTGACTCGGGTTTCCAAGTGAACAATGTGAAATGGATTCTTGAACAACGATAACCGCTGTGTTCCTTGTCCTATGTTCT